GTAACACACTAATTCTTATCAGTCCTCAATGTAATTTCTCAAAAACATGAAATTATATTAGTGTAATTTCCAATCAACATGAAATTACAGTATTACACTCCATAATGCAGTTTCTCAACAACATGAAATTGCCTTCCCACAATTTCTAAACAACATGAAATTGCCTTTTCAATACACTTTCTTAACAACATGAAATTGAATGAAGGCAATTTCCAAACAACATGAAATTGCTTAGTTTAAATAAACCAACATGTCACAATACAATATGAGATCTCAAAAATTTGTGACATCCAATCATTTAAGCTCGCAACATGCTTAAAGATACTATTCATACATATATTTCTCAGTCGACAGAAGAAATAACAATAATGATAATTATCAATTATTAAAATTAACAAAAGTCACAAAATATCATCAGTTTGCATGACCAAAAAAGCAAACTGAATATAACCCCACTGATTAAGGGAATTAAAAGAATTTAAAAAACTTAAAAGAAAAACTCGAGTACAACTCCCACTAATCAAGGGAATCAAAAGAATTTAAAGTTCTCATATATACAAAGAAAGCTACTTCAAGATATTTCCTATAAAAGTTTTTTAGATAAAAAGCATTTATTTCATTCAGTAAATCATCATCTTACTAAAAAATAAAATGTTATCTACATAAAGTAGTAAGAATATACATCTACTCTCACTTACTTTCATGTAGATGCACTTGTCAAATATATTTAAATTAATTCAAAGAAATTAATAAAAATTCATTGTTAAAGCAAAACGAATGTTTTCTTAAAAATTTATTTTTTGAGAAAAAAAGACACGCACAGACCTCGATATATTTTTAATCAACGCATATTTATTTTTTAAGATACCAATCAATGTCCAAAACCTTAAACGATACGACTAATTCATTTTTCAATTTGAATTTTTTTATGATTCTCATTAGTTGCAAATCTCAAAATTCGAATCTATTGTCATTTTGAGGAGGTCAAGATCTAATTTTATCCTTCTCGATAATGGAATATGATATTTTACTTTTATTTTATTTATTTTTGTCTACCCCTTTCAGTATTATTGGATTACAATATCATCCGATGGTGAAGATTTACGATATAAAATATATTCTTTTATTTATTTTCTCTCCCACTGCTCTTACTCTCTTTTTTCTTCATTTTCTCTCTCTCTCTTTTCAATGGTGCTTCAGCATCATAAAAAGGTATAAATTTTTTTCTCAATTCATCTAACCCAACTATTAATCATTACAGAACTATCATGGCATTAATCATTGCATAGATTTAGATTCAAATATAAATTCATGTTGTAAATTATGCAAATTGATACAGAGTAAAGCTAATCTTTAATGAAACAGGAATTTACAATCACATATTTTTAATTTATTAAATTCTTTTACAAAAATACAAGGTTTTATAGCAAATCGTGAGGTATGGTTTACTTTACAAGTTTCATCATGTAGGCAAACTTCAACTGCAGTATAAAAATTTGTATCTAGCTCGTTAAAAATATCTGTGATTAGGGCTAAATTGGGATACACATACGCTCATCTGACATTCAAAAAAGTCCACTTAGCACTCCAATCACAGACCCTCGTTTCCATATATATATATATATATATATATATATATATATATATGACAAATCCAATCTCTCTTTTTGACAAATCTATTTTTATGAATACTTCTCAACCTCTAAAAATATTCGTCTCTACCTTAAGATTTACCAAACCAACCAATCCAATCATTTTATCATGGGATCCTATAAATCTTGCCTCCCCTCCAATGTTGCTCCTGTATCAATCTCTCCCTTGAGGTGAAGAGCTATTCTTTTTTTTTTTTTTTTTTTGGTAAAAATGGAGGGCCTAGCCCAGATGAATTAAATTGAAAGCTGATGCATGTCAAAAGAAACATGCTCCATCAGCAAGAAATTACAAAAGTCATTCCAGAATGGAAAAACACTTGCAGGGGGAGAGGAATATACATTCAGCTCACCACCCCTACCTTTCAAACCTAAAATGGCTAAGCCATCAGCACAAGAGTTATTTTTTCTAGGAATATACTCAAAGGAAGCATACTCTAAGGCCTGTAAAGAGTTCCTAATTTTCCTAACTAACAAGGAATTGCCATCTGATTCAGAAGATGAATTGATACTTAATAAAGCTTCCTGGCTATCACAACCAACCCAAACCTCCTGGATTTTCAAACCCACGGCAAGTTGAAGACCCTGCCATATTCCCCGTAACTCAGCTTCAAGGCTGGTACATATACCAATATTGAGAGAGAAACCAGAAATCCACTCACCCTTTGAATTACATAGGAATCCTCCACAAGCTCCTGTTTTGGTATTCAATGAAACAGCTCCATCAACTAAAATTTTGACAGCTTCCTTCTGCATACTATTGACACATCCAATAAAAGAAATAGGTTCCTTCTGTGCCTGAGAAAAAGGGTTCACTGCTACAGCTCTTTTTGATATCTTTTAGAAAGATTAGAATCTTGCTCATTAGATCTTCAGGCCAAGAAAAAGTATCATCATGAACCAATAGATTTCTCCATCGCCATAAGAGCCAACAAGTGACAAAGAAAATTTCATACCATGAATGCCAAAATCTAGATGAGAAGGACTTACAGATATTGGCCCGAAACCAGTCTAGACCAACAGCTGTCATGAAACTGTCTGGAATTACACCTCCAAACCAGCACTCCCACACAAACTTTGCTCTATTGCAGTCCCTAAGAACATGCATAATTGTCTCATGATTGTCATAGCAACTGGGAGAGTAAGTCACACCACCACTCCATAGACCAGTAATACTTCTCACAGGAAGTTTATTCAAGCAAGCAAGCCATAAGCAGGTTGCAATTCTGTATGGCCCTTTCCATTTCCAAATCATAGACCATAGTTTGTCCTTCCCCACAATAGGATCTGTCAGCTGGCAATATGCATTACGAACCATAGACCTAGATGAACTATTTCTGGTCCAACAAAGTCTGTCATTCGGCCCAGAAGGGGAAGGAGGCAGAATTCCTCGCAACTTCCCAATAGTGCTATCATCAAGATATTTCTTCAAATAATCCAACTTCCAGCCACCTATTTCATTCTCAACAAGGTCACAAATCCTAAGATCCAGATCAGAACTAGGGGGTTTAACACATGCCAAATCAAAGAGACTAATGTTTCCTCCACTCCAACAATCAATCCAAAATAGTGTAGTGATTCCATTACCAACTTCCCAAACCAGATGAGGATCTAGTTTAGTTCTTACAGAACAGATGCTCTTCCATAAAGGAGAGTCACTTGGTTTAACTATGAAACCTCTCTTGGGATCTTGTTTTCTGCCATATTTGCCAAGTAATACTTTAGTCCACAAACTGTCTTGATCATTAATCAGCATCCAAGAAATCTTTTGCATGAAAGCTTCATTTTGGAATCTAAGTTTAATAATTCCAAGACCCCCATATTCTTTAGGCTTACAAAGCTGATCCCAAGCAACATAATGGGCTCTTCTTTTTTCATCTAAGTCTCCCCAAATGAACTTGCATTGCAATTTCTCAATCTCCTGGCAGATGTGAATCGGCAGGGTATTATTTTGCATATGATAAGTTGGGATTGTTGAGATGACACTCTTGGCTAAAGTGATTCTCCCAGCCAAAGACAGACATTTGGCTTTCCACCCTTGAAGTCTATTTTGAACTCTAGATATGATATTGGCATAATGCTTCCTACTAGCCCTCCCATGCCTCATTAGAGCTCCCAGATAACAGCCAATGCTCTTGACTACCTTGAATCCACTGATATCTGCAATAGAACTACTAATCTCCAGAGAAGTATTCCTAGAGAAATAAATACAAGATTTCTCCATACTTACACTTTGGCCTGACATGCTGGAAAACTTAAGCAAACAGTCCGAAATACAAGCAAACTGACTCAGAGAAGCTTCAGCAAAGAAGATGATGTCATCAGCAAACATCAAGTGGGAGATTTGAGGCCCTGATCTGCCAGCTTTAATAGGTTTCCAGTTTTTCTTTCCCACTTCATCCATAATCAGATGAGTAAGCTTTTCCATGCAGAGAACGAACAAGTAAGAAGATAGGGGATCTCCTTGCCTTATTCCCCTTTGAGGCTGAAATCCAGGAGTTTTAGAACCATTCCATAAAACTTCAATAAAGGGTGTGGTAACACAGCCCATGACAGCAGCAATCAAGTCACTAGGAAGTTGAATTTCTTCAAGAACTGATCTAATAAATCCCCAATTAAGTTTGTCATATGCCTTCTCTAAGTCAATCTTGATTGAAAAAAAACACTTCTTCCCTGTCATCCTATGCATGGAGTGAATGAGCTCTTGGACAATAATAATATTATCCTGGATATTCCTCCTAGGAATGAAACTAACTTGATTAGGAGATATAAGATTACCTATAAAAGGCTTAATCTTATTAACCAGGATTTTGCTAAGACCCTTATAAACAGTGTTGCATAGAGCAATAGGCCTAAATTGCCTCATAAAACAGGGCCTCTCTATTTTAGGAATCAGTGCAAGGAGTGTATGATTAATTTCCTTAATCTGATCCGGATTCTTGAGATAGCACTTCATGCTCTTGAACACTTGATCTTTGATCAAATCCCAGTTCTTGTGATAAAATAAGGCAGGGAACCCATCCGGTCCTGGAGCCTTCAGAGGAGGCATTTGAAAAAAGCCTTCCTAACTTCCTCAAAGGATATATCCAAAGACAAAAGATCCTTATCCTCCTTACTGAGCACTGGCCAGGAAAAACCAGTTTGGTTCCATTCAGCAATAGGCATATCCTCTTTGAAAAGATTATAGAAGAAATTTCTGGCTAACTCAATTAAATTTTCCTCTCCAGTAACCCATCCACTCCCATTATTCTGAAGTTTCAAAATTCTGTTTCTCTTCCTTCGAATCAGGGTCCTAGTGTGATAGAATCTGGTATTTCTATCTCCACCCTTAATCCATTCCCCTCTTGACTTCTAATACCATATTTGTTCTTCTAAGTCAAGAATTTCAGATAATTCTCTTAGTAGCTTAGTTTCCAAATCCTCCAGATGCCAACTGTTATGCAAGCACATATGTTTTTGAATACCATCCAACCGAGCCAAAACCCTATTTTTCCTGAACAAAATGAACCCAAAAACAGACTTATTCCAGTCTTTAACAGCAAGGGTAAAAGACTTCAAACTACTCAGCAACTCAGAGCTAGTGTCCCAATTGGATTTAAAAAAAACACTGAACCTTGGATCATTCTGCCATATAGCCATAAATCTAAATGGTCTCTCCCTCCAACAAGAATCACCTTTCTCCAATCTAACCAATACAGGGTAGTGGTCAGAAAAAATTCTGGAAAGGTTCAAAACATCTGCTTCTTCAAAACAATTCCTCCACAAATCATTTGCCATTGCTCTGTCAAGCCTTTTAAAAACTCTATCCAGATGACTGTATTTAGGGCCTTTCCAAGTAAATCTACTTCCACTACCTCCCAAATCCAAAACCCCACAAGCATCCAGGACATCACTAAACATCCTGCATTTATTAATGTCAGCTGGGCAGCCTCCTTTTTTCTCAGAAATAGAACAAATTTCATTGAGATCACCTGACAACAGCCAAGGTTCATTCATGGTCCTACCAATGTGCTTCAAGTCTTCCCACAACAGCCTTTTGTTTTCCTCTTGGGGACTGGCATACACTGTTGTCCAAAAGAAACCATCTTTTCTAGGAAATTCAACCCAAACATGAATGAATTGATCCTGTTTATTGATAAGAGTAATATTTACATCAACCGGATCCCAAACCACCCAAATGCCACCAGAGTAACCATGAGCATCAGCTATGATGAAATTATTAAAACCTAAACTTCGAATAATATTCAAAGCTTTATCTCCACTAACTCTTGGCTCTAAAATAGCAGCCACACCCACTCCAAACTTTCTTCGAAACCTACTGAAAGTGCTCTTGAATTGCTTCGTAGCAGCACCCCTGCAGTTCCAGGACATCACATTCATAAATAAATCTGAGGTTGTTGCAAGATTACAGAGTTCTTGCAACTCACAGCCTCCTGAATAACAACATCTCCTCCTTCACAAATTAAGCCATCTGAACCATGCAAGGTATTAGACAGATCTGACCTGAGAAGCTGGTCCATCTCCATGGTGGTATGACATTCAACTCCCTTATCAGATTCCCCCACGACTATGTCATATTGATCAGAACAAATCACATTGCTCCAATTGCTCAGATTGACCACCTGTTGATTGATACCAACATTTTCCAATTGAGTTTCTAAGTCAGTGGTCTCAGCCTCCATCGCTAAATCACCCCAAAATTTACCTTTTAGCTGCTCCACTTTAGCTAAGGGAGCCTGCTGAAAGAGGTCTTGTGAAGGCTCACTGCTAGCAGCAGTCAGAATGGAAGGGGTAGGGATCTGCACTCCTTTCCCTTTAGCTGACATGACCTTAGCAGAGTTCCTCTTAGAGATAAAATTCCCTTGTTTCACTCCTGAATTCTTTCTATTAGAGTTTGAAGCCTTTGCTGTGAATTTCATTTCCCCCTCATCAACTGGAGGATTATGAACCGAGGATGAATTTTCCTTGTTAACCAATGAATTATCATTCTTCTCCTCTGACTTCTTGCCAGCAGCTTTCTTCAGATTACCCTTCACTCCAATTCCTCCATCCTGCACACCCACTTCCACCTTGTTCACCAAAGGATTGGGAAAGACTACACCAGAATCCATCTCAACTACCTTTTTTTGAAACCCACTCCCACTACTGCCATCAGCCTTAACCCCCACTATCTTCGAGTTGGAGATGTCTTCCCCAAACATTCTGGAACCCTTGGAATCGTCTTTAGAAGCAGCTAGTCCACCCTTCTTCCTTCTCTGGACTACCATCCATTCTCCTACCTTCTGAACATCAGCCTTCACCCCTGACTGCACAGGATTCTCACAAGACTTATCCATAGGAGTTTGTTTGGCAGCTTCTGGGCAGATTTCAGCATTATGCCCATACCTCCCACACTTCACACAGATAAGGTATAAACCTTCATACTCAATTCTTTTAAAACAGCCATCTAAGACATACATCCCTCTCAAAGGTTGAGCTAGGTCAATCTCTATGCAAACTCTAGCAAACCTAGCTCTATCACCAGTTGAAGTAGTCCTATCAACTCTTAAAACTTTTCCAATAACAGATCCTAGATGATTGAGAAAAGGAAACTCACAATATTCTTGTGGTATACCTGGAAGACGCACCCATGCAGCAACCTTGTGGATGTTGGCCTTCTCTGGATCAAAACAAGGCTCCCATCTTCTAATTTCCAGGTAATGCCCCAAGATCACCCAAGGTCCACCCGAAATAGCCAAGTTCAAATCCTCCAGACAACAGAACCGTACAGAGAAGAAGTCATTCCCTAAGTCAGCTACTGTAATGCTGCCTGCCTTGGCCCATAACACTTCCAATCTCCTTTTCATGAAACCAACCCCTATTCTCTTGCCTAACAGCTTGACTATCAAGGCATGCTTCCATCGCTGCCGCATGCGGGCACGAGCCTCACTGCTACTCTTGATTTCCACCAAACCATCGTCTCGAACCAGAGTTTGGAAACCCCATTCAGAAATGGTTCCCTCATTCGGATCAAGAGGATCTAGATCTGGATCATCCTCCTCCATAAGCCAGGGTGATGCTTCGCCCGAAACACCATTTTCAACCCCTGTAACCTCAGCAAATGACCTCTGCTTCGCTAGTCCTTTCCCTCCCGATTGGAACTCATCCACCACTTCACGCATACGTCCCTCCGTCAGAATCTCATCACCGTTCTTCGTGCGCTTCATACTTTTCCTAGTCACACTCAACGATTCGAACTGAATCTCCTTCAAGTTCCCCATCGAAACAGCAAATTTCTAGAAAGAAACCCTATCAGACAGCAAACTTTTCGCGCGCGTAGCTATACGCGCCTCACATGATTTTTTAAACTTTTTAAGAGCTATTCTTTAGGGTTCTGCAAAATAATTGAATCGCAGCGAAAGAAAATGTATTTTTCTGAACTAATTTTGAAAATTCAATTAATTTTATAAATCAGTTTAAAAATTGAACCGAATAAAAAAAATTAGTTTAAAGAATCGATTCAAAACTAGTTTGGAGATTATAAAGTATAAATTGATTTTGAAACATAAACCGATTATTTTTTTATTTATTTTTGGTTACAACATAAACCGATTTTGAATTAGTCAAAAAAATAAAATTAAAACCAACTCGAATTAAATAAAACAATTTTTTGAATCAAATTAATCTAAACCATATCATTCAAATCAAATCATGATGTTCTCTTTAATTCCTTCATAAACTCACAATCAGCAGAAACAACGAAAAGACAGATATCACTTCACTAATTGATCATTCTGTCAAAACACTTTTCTTCCTCTCTTGATCACTCCATCTCACTTTTAGTCTCTCTTCAATGCCTAGGATTCACTTGTAGAAAGGTTGATCAAAATATTTAGTATTGAAAGAACCCAAAAAAATTAAAAAAAGAAGAAGAAGAAGGTATTTAGTGGTGTTCCACACCAAAAGGAATAAAACATTGGTGAAACAAAGCATTAGTTTCAATTAGGGCATTGCTGCGATCTGCACTTCGGTGTGGCGAGGTGCACACATGCTCAACAGTGAGGGCCCTCCACGTTTACTTCAAGAGTTCAAGGAGCGGATAATCTGAATGAAGGTGGGAATTGCACTCAATCCTTCCCGTGACATATAATCCTAAACAGGTCCAAATTCCTAGTTTTGTTGCGTGACTTGCGTCCACTCACTAACCTTCATTTGATGTAGTGGTTGGTTTTGGGGTTTGGGAACGTGAGAAAACAAAGGGGTTGCAAGTTTTAAGCGTATTCAATGAAGGAAAATGATTGCTGATTGATTTAAGGGATATGATATTTTAGTTACTATTTTTCATGCCTACCATTTTCCAACACCGTTATATCATAATCTCAAGAAGAAAGAGAAATATAAATGTTAGTTAAGATTCTGGTCTAGTGATATTTTAGTATGAAAGACAAAGGTAGGCAGAAAAAGAGATAGGTAAAATAAGTTATCTCTTGATTTAACGAGAATAAAGAGATCAAGAAGGTAGACTAAGACCTATGATGCACGGACACTGACACGGGACACGAGATACGATACGACACGACATTCTGACACGTTAGTTCTAAAAAAAGTTCAATTTCGACACGTCAGGACACGTTTTGATATAACATTTTTAATTTATATAGTATATATTGTATTTAGTATTCAATAATTTAACAAAAAAATAAAGTTAAACTTATTATACCCATCAATTTTGCAAAGAAACATAATATATACTAAATGTTTATATTAAACACAATAAAATCATAATCGTGATCTAACGAATCTAATAGTTGAAACTCAAAATACAACGTAACGTAACCTTTGAATCTTTTTTGAGTCTTTGCAACGAGTATTGGAGTGTCGGGAAGTGTCAGTGAGTGTCGAAAAGTGTCAGACACGACACGTTAGAATTTTTGAAGTGTCGGTACTTCATAGACTAAGACTATGATATGGGACAATAGAGAAAAGTTAGTATTGAGAGCAACAAAAATTGTCGAATAAAGAGAGATATAATATAAAAGTCTTTCACTAAAGTAGTGTCACATGATGTTTTAATAATTTTATTTTTTTAATTACGTAACTATTTTATTATTTAAAAATTATTAATAATATCAACTCGTTCTAACAAAAAATTTAACAATATATATATTTAATATTTTTCGTATTCAAATATATGTAAGTGAGTATTCAAAATAATATCAAATAGGCATTTAATGTGCCACTTACCAGTTTTGTAACTCAAAATGGCTTAACGTGTAACATAGATTTGAGTAACAGATCCATTATAGAGTAATTATATATTTGCTAATAACCAATCTGTTATAAACTAAATATTTTATAATGAAAAAGGCACTCGTGATTTTTTATATGGCTCGATTGTATTTCATGCGCTTATAACTTGAGCTACAATTTTTTTTGCTTGTAATGAGGAGGTATTCAAAGTATTAAATTAATTGTAAAACTTTCCGCAGAGGTTCTGGGTAACAGTTACGCGCTAAACCATAAACTAGAGTAACTGAATCAAATTGGAGAAGAAAGCAACAAACGCAAGCAATAGCACGAGTCCTCACTTCCAGTTTCGAATAGTACGTCCATTTACTTCATTCAAAGTGGGTTGGCCTGAAAAAGCAAAAACTGAATGCAGCCCCACAACCAAAAAGAAAAAAAAAAAAATGCAAAAATACAATACAAGCTATATCACCAACTAAATTATTGAGAACCAACAATAAAATGCTCAAAGCTAAGAAATTTCCCCAAGACAAAATAAAATTTCTTATTCGGGAATGTTTAGCTTATGTTTGAAGACTGAATCAATCCGCTTTTCATTTTCATGAATCGGTTGGCAATTTAATTCAAGTCAATGTAACCCACATAAACCTTATGTTGAAGGGATAAAACCAGACATCCATTCAAAAAAAGTTACTAATTCTAACAAAAACACTGTAAAAAAGTTCCGACTATTTAGTACTTTCCTTCCTTAAAATATGTTCACACCTCTATCATCCAGTGTGAAACAATCATCATTATGCTTAAGCATCTTAGTGTTCCAATTCTAAAGAACAAAATTGATCCGAAGGGTACATAGGATCCGATTTGAATGAGACACTGCATAATTAAGTTGCCTTACCATGGGAAATTTCGGCAGCAGAATACAGAAACCCATATGAACCGTCTCTTTCCCACTGTTTTAAAAAGATAAATATATCTCTTCCCTTGCTTGCATCAAAGAGGTAAACATACAAATAAATAACATTAATAAAATGAATCCCCCATAAAAGCTGCCTAATATTCGGGTTGTAAACTAAAGTCTAATAAGACAAGACACCACAAATTTTTCCCACAAAAAAAATAAAAAAAATTAAGACAACAAACAGCTCCGAGTTTATATGTACACGAGCTGCAAAGGTTACTTGATTATACTATCAACTGATCTGAAGGGAACAAAAAACAACTTATTGTAGCGACACAGAAATATAATACGCAAGGAAAACAATAACGGAGCAAATATAATCAACAGATTACATAGCCAAATTTTTATACTTGCACTAAGGCTTCTGAACCTTGTCCACATATGCCTGCAATCAAAAGGAGATTAAGTATAAGACAAGCTGTAAAAACCAAAAAGTAATCAATTGTCATTAGTTTCATAGGTAACTTTGACAAATAAATGTCTCAAACGCAAATGAAGATTCAGAAGCTGACATAGATCTTTACTAGTAAAATAGAACAACTTTGACATAAGAGATAGGATGCAGCTCTTAATCATTTAGAGATCAGCTGTAACAATTTGATGGATTACACAAAAAGGATGCCCCAATGCACAAGGCTGTCACCAAAGTAGGGTGTGGGGAGGATTATGAATACGATCCCTTACCCTAATGAGCGAATATTTTGTTTCTCGACTAGAAACCCATTACCACCAAATGAAAAGGGAGCAAAATTACTGTATGAAAACAAGTAAAACTTCAATTTGAAACAGATGTTCTTTTTTTAAAAAAAATAAAAATGTATGAAATTATTTGTTAAATTAGCAAAATAATTAAGTTAGGAAATAAAAAATAATAATTAAGAAAAGGATCCCGGAACGGGTTTTTTGTTCATTTTTGAGACAATATATTAACGATAAATTTAGTTGCATATACAAAATCTATGAAATGTACAAACACCTCAGCTCAAAATGTCATCCTACAATTTTGGACAACTTTCCTACAAGTCTAAAACCATCCAAATTAGCTTTTCCAGAAAATTCAACGGTTTCTTGAGCTGCATGCATATTCACATTCATCTATAAAACCAAGTTAAAGGGAGGACAAGATTTGGAGTCCTCCATACATATAACGAAAATCTAAAAAAAACCACCACTGACCTGTACAAGTTTGTTAAGTTTTGGTTTGGAAATTGATAAGTAGCGGTCAATTTTCTCCTGTGTCTGAGGAATATGTACCCGTTGCATTGTACTAACTACTTTATCAGTAACTTTCTTAACAATTTCTTTATAATCTTCTTTGGTGATTTGACCTTCTTTCCATGCAGGTTTCAGAAGCTCCTTAACGAACTCCACCAATGAAAATTTAAATGCACGAATCCCCTTCACATCCTTTATTTTCTTGGCCTCATCAGGTCCACCATTTAGGTCCATGTTTTCCAAAGGGCCATTCTCTTTTGTGATTTTATTTTCACATGGAAAACTTTGCTTTTGTTCAGCTACCACTTCATTGTTCTCCTTATGAACCTCAATTCTTTCACCTTGCTGCAACTGAATTAAATGTTCATTCTTGGCAAGTTGTTCTTCTGAAAAGGAAGTCTTGCAAGAATCATCAAAATGTTGTCCTGGCTTAGATAACAGTGATGGAATTTCTACTACATCTTTTGGATTTTTATTAATTGGAGAAAAGGATGGGGGGACCCCACTTGTATTAGCATTCTTAGGCTCAAGACTGTCGCACATTGGATCATACTGCTTTTGGAATCGAACAGCAGGATCTGGCTTGATGGATGTTATGGAAACAGGCTTAGCAGACCCTTCAGTTTTGCCTAGGAAGGGAGTATCCTTTGCATCATGAGAATTTAAAGTAGCACAAAGTTGTGGGAGCTGCTGACCCGTCCCAAGGATATGCGTCAGAGAGGCTGATAGGCTGGTAAATTGAGCAACTTGTTCTTTGCTCGCCATCTTCTGAGTTGGAGGATTTCTTGAACCAACTTGTGATAGGCTTGCATCCATGATATTTGGCTCGACGTACTTTTTCTCAGAGAATTCCTGGTTCTGCAAACCTTCAACAATTCCTACTCTCAGAGGAACGATGGAAACTGGCAGTTGACTTTGTCCAACTGCATGATAGTTTGAAGAATACGAAGCATTTACATTCTGATTAAATCCTTGTCCTGGCAGAACAGTAGAAAAGTTTAGGCTTATGTGTTAATCAGCAGATTTGTTTATGTCATTCTTATTATCAAATGTCAATGCAATAACACCATCCACTTAGAAAATTTGGTTTTGCAGTCGCAGATTAAATGGTTGTTCAATGGACAAAGGATGTATAGTCAGAGGAACATCAATCATGTAATTACCTGGAGCAACTTGTTGCTTATTCTGCCCATGCTCTTCTTCAGTATGGCTGGAAGATCCCACACCATAATTCCAATCGGGAGACATTTTTTCATCACCAGGCCAAATGTCTGCACCTACTGACCGGGAAATGTGAATGTTGGCACTAGCATTTTCAACTGTCCAACAGTTGGCTTCCTTCTTATCACTTGAAAATGGTGATTCACCATGCACTCTCTTCTTATCTAAGCTACGGTCCAATCCAACACTGATTGGCCAAGCAGTGAATCCAGGTTCTGAGGCGGCCATAATTCCATCTTTTTTGTCCTCGGACAGCTTTGCTCTATCAGATACAGCAAATAAATCATTCTGCTTTGGACCGTCCCAAACTTTATCTACATCAGCCAAACTGTCATCTGAACCCCATCTATCATCTCTTAGCCTTCCATTAGGACTAATTGAATCACTCAATTTTGGTCTATTCAATGCCAGATCTCCACCTTTATTACTCCTTGACCTATCATCCTTTAATCTTCTATTAGGGCTCCTATGGGCTTGTTTATCATGAGAAAACCTACAATTTTTACCATTACGGCAATTCCCAAAAGCAAAAAATTTGCAAGGAGTATCACCACTGTGGCTCGGACCATGCCGACTACCCTGCTCGAAAGAATTCTCTGTGCTCCTTCTATCAATTTCCCTTTCTCTAGTTGATTCATGCACAGAAACTTCACCGAACCCATCAGAATTATCATGATGCACATACTTGCATGATGCTCCCATTCTACACCTTCCTTTTGCAAAATAAATACAAGCTTCATTAGATCTTCCACTAATAAGAGAATAGTCCCCACTCTCATGGAGAGCAGAATATCTGGGACCTCCATCTTGCCTGTTTCTATTTGCCCAGCTATCCTCATAGTTTTGATTATCATGGTGAAGGAAATGGCAATGGCTGCCTCTTCTGCATTTCCCCGCAGCAAAATCTCTACATGGTTGTGTCAATCCTCCAGCCCTCGTTCTATTTCTGTTGGTGACTCCTGAATCCCACCTAAAACCACGTGGAGGGCTTCGGCTTTGGCTCCTGCTCCGACTACTCCTGGACATAGAATTATCCAGTTAAAGGCAGACAATTAAAAAAACCAACTGCATCTGGAAATTACGCACACATAGCCATGTCAAAGATCTCAAATTTCTTCGAAGGAAGGATAATATAATTTGAACTTAATGACTACCTCTCTGTTAAGGATATAAATTATAAAATATGAAGCAATCAAAAAGTACTAAGATGACTTTGAAATTAAAGAAAATAGGCACCCATAAAGAAACAAGCACAATCTGAACAAAAGGATGGAACATGACATGGATACATCTTAATAAGTAAAATTGGAAAAGTTCCTTAGATGTGCATCTATTTCTAAGGACCTAAAAACCTTCAGCTTCTAAACTTTTCTCCATAATCTAAAATTTTTAATATAGGACTATATTCGATGTTATATAACGGTCAAGATGAATAATTACTTAAACTTCACATAATTATCACCTGATCATCTAAAAAATTTAAAAAAGTCAGATAACTTGATCATTTAATCTTAGACTGTTCATGCAAGATCTAGTGTTCATGATTGTATGTATGTACATAAGCATGAAAATATTTGTTACGGCTCTAGATTTCTAGAAGGCTGAATGTGTAGTAATGGAGTGGAGATAACTGAGAAAAGGATAGGAAAGAATTAATTTTATTGATGAAAAGCAAAAAAACATACAAGAGATGAAATTTCTTCACAAAGAGCACTTCCCTTCAACTGAGCACTCTCTGCCTAGGTCAAATCAAATTCTGTCCAAAGATATCTATCAATGGAGTGTGTCTCCCTTATATGCAGCTTTCTAGACTTCTCATACAATCCTCTAACCAACTAACTACCTAACCAAACCATCTAACTGAACTTATACAACAATTACTAACTACCCTGGTCTTGTATATTCCTTGGGGAATATTCCTCCAAGTCCTATATCAAATGTAAGTCGTAATCTGAATACTAAAAAAAAAAAATGTAAGTCATAACAATATTTGTGAAACAACACACAATTCTCACAAAAGAATAGAAGTGCCTGTCTTTCGTCGAGTAAGACAGGTACGTCGCTCACCCATGTATGGTCATTGCTCACCTGATTGGTCAGCATCCAATTCATGAAATTTCATTTCATACTAAATAGCATTTTCAATGGAAAAATGTAACTATGATATGTTTAAGAGGTATGTTTTTCTCATGTTACATGAGAAAAAACATACCTCCTACACACTTATCAAAAGATGTGCCTTGAGGCTTTTTTTTTTTTTCAAAAAAAAAAGTGACCCCCACGTATTTTGTGTCTACAACATGAGGGAAGCTATCTTATATGATATGAGAGTTATTTTTTCCTATTTTTACAATGTATATCATGAAATCTAAGAAGTGATAAATTTAGATTCCCAACAGCACTACCGAGTACTCAGAGGTGTCAAAGCGTTCTCATGAGCATCATGAACACTAGTACATATAAAATACATGATCAGGTTTATTTATTAAATTTTTTCTCATAAAACCATCATTTAAACTTAAGTTTCCATTAATTTCAAAAAAATAGGGTCAGCTTAGATGTGAGTAGAAAAACAAACCTGACTGGGGATTGACTATGCTTCTTATTTTTCCATTCCTCAAACCCCGGAGACATTTTCATGTCATAACTTCCATCGGTGTCCCATGCAATTGTTGCATCCAAATCTCCGTAGTCTTTATTCGTAATATCATCCTTATTTGAACCTCTGCCTCCAGAGAAAGGTTCCTTCCATGAAAATCCCATTCTTGGTTTTAACTTATCATTTCTTTCCAAATAGGAGCACTTTGAACTATTGTTACTAGGAAAACCTGTAGAGGACCACCCAGACTGCAATTGCTTAGGGTGCATTTAGATAAGCTTTCATAAAAGCGCTTTTTTTTTCTCATTAGGAACTCTATCCAGCTCATAAAAAAACACTAAAACTGATTTATTTTTTTTCTGAAAAACTTACATAATTATTTTAAAAAAAATTAGAGGCATTTTTATTAAAAAAAAGCACAAACAAACAGGCCTTACGATCAGGTGCAAATTGAGGTTCATCTCTTGAATCCCACTTTGAATAGTGCTTTCTGCCACTTCCACTCATTTCACTCCCCAAAGCCTTAAAGCTTCACTTTGACTAATGCAGAGTGCTCTGAATTAGAAACAAAAAAAAATCAGAAACCTGAAATCTATCCTCATTCTTCTAATATTCTTCTTCATTAAAGGAATATGGCATGCTAGAAATAGAAACAACAGAAAGTTATCAAATGAAAGACAGACTTGTATTGTAAACAAAAATATCAATGCAAGTAGTTCCAGCAAAACTCTGAAGCTTCAAGAATTGACCCTGGTTAAAATCTGCATCAACCACTCTCAAGTCACAGATATAAATGACCATTATTAAACAAAAAAAGGATTTAAGTAACAGAGAATAAGAACATAGAAAAGGAGGGAGGATCAGGAATCCTCCTAATAGAAGACAATGAGGTAAAAAGAGAAATGAAATAACCTAAACTCAAAAGGGTTGTCTAATTGTTCTGCATATCTGACAAATACATCCCCTTTCAAGAAACAATGCACATAGAGAAGCAAAGAAAACCATCCTATCCCAAATATGATTTACGGGTAAAAAAAACTGGAGGAAAATTTTAGCATTTTGTATAAACATAATTGACCGTGAGGAACCATTAACAGTTTTCAATTTTCTTAGTTGAGTTCAACAATAAAATCAAATTCATTAATCCACTTGCTAAGACTCAAATTAGGAAATCTTCCTTAGGTTGCGTGCATGTTTACTTTCTATCTTCTCCCTTCCAGAAAGCTTATTCATAACCTAATCATTGTTTAAGGAGCATGCATCATATGCTAATTAAACGTTGAGCCAAGACCTTATAAAATTTATAAGAAAATAAAAGTGTATTACTTTGTTACTGTGTTAGTTTTACTGTGTCACTGTAGTTTTGCCATTTACTTACTGCATCAGGTGTATAGTTATTAGTATAAGCAGTGGCTCACTGGATTCCTTTCTCTGTAAAGTTGTTAGCTGACAACTGATTTATGTTGAGTCTGTTTAGTTGCTAAGTCATCACCTTCATCTTCTTTATATACATGTGTAATAGTCTTGTATAATTTAGATTATTCAATACAGAAATTCTTTCGCTCTCCCTCTTCTCTTCTCTCAGACTTCTCTCTTCTCTATCTATGTTCTCTCTGAATCCTAATATGGTATCAGAGCTCTCTCTCTCTGAGGGCCTGAGCCATTTTAGGTCACAACCATGGCTTCCGCTTCAGATCCAGACACTACAAACACCTCTCAATCAAACCATAACAACACCAGTAGCTCGCGCACAAATCATGATACATCCATGGAAGCAAAATCTCTTCCATCTCTCTTTAATCTCCAGATCTCAGCAAAACTCACTGAAGATAATTTTCTTTTCTGGAACCAAATCATTGAGCCAGTGATCACAACGCATCAACTGCATAAATTTCTGGTAAATCCAAAGATTCCACTCCAGTTTGCCTTAGATGAAGATCGCGAGAGCAACATTCAAAGTTTAACCTACTTGGAATGGCTTACTCAAGACCAGATGCTTCTTACTTGGCTTCTTTCAGCAATTTCAGAATAGATCGTGAATGATATACTTCCCGTGAAACACTCCTATGAAGCTTGGGAAAATATACATAGGCTGTTTCAAGGTATGATGAAATCAAAAGCCATTCAACTCATATCTGAGTTACGAATAATGAAGAAAGGTACAAAGTTTATGAAGGAATATCTCACTCGAATCAAAACACTGTGTGACTCTCTGAAAGCCATAGGAAGTCCTATTTCAATTGAGGAACACACTGAAACAATACTCTATGGATTACCGTCTAATTATAATCCATTCATCATACTTGTACATGGCAGAGAACGTCCTTGCACCGTAGCAGATCTTGGAATGGAATTATAGGCACACGAACAACTGTTAATCAAACAAAATGAGTCCTCATTGTTTGAAGTAGCAATTGTAAATCTAACTCGGAGCTCAAAATATTCAGAAGCAAAATGTAGTTGAGGTAGCTGAGGATGTTGATCAGAATAACAAATTTTCTCAACAGAGGAACTCTTCCTTCGTCGATAGAGGAAAAGGACGTGCTGGAGGTCGTAACTCTTATGGAAGAGGCAGAGGAAATAGAGTAAATGTTCATTGCCAACTGTGCTTCAAGTATGGACATGATGTGAAGACATGCTAGCATAGATTCGAAGAGGATTTTGTACCTAACTTACCTCCACCACAAGGACCAGCATTCAACAACTTCTTTGCTCCTTAAGCTCAGAATTAATGCTCTTTTTAGTATAACAGAACCTTCAATACACAACCACAAGCCTTGATGACCACACAATCTGGACTTCTGCCTACTCCGATACCTTTGATGGAATGGTTACCTGACTCTAGAGCTTCCAGTCATGTTACAGGTGGTTCTCAAAATCTGGTCCCGAGTCATCAACACAATGGCTCAGATCATGTTTTGATTGGCAATGGTCAAGGTTTGCCAATAACAACCATAGGATCTTCTTCTTTTCACTCTCTTTTTGATTCTAAAGTTCAATTTCACCTTAATAATATGTTATTAGTGCCTTCCATTACCAAAAATCTTATTAGTGTGAGTAAGTTTGCAAGAGACAATAATGTATTTTTTGAGTTGGATCCGAACACTTGTTTTGTAAAATCACAGGACTCACATAAGACTCTTCTCAAAGGAACTGTTGGACCAGATGGCCTTTATCGCTTTTCATATATACATCTCCTTCAATCCAGTACTTCAATGGCAAATGCACACTTAGATAATGTTTCCTTGAGTCCTAATCTTTTTTCTGCAGAACATGATGTTTGCTTTTGTATGTTGTTACTGCTATTGCACCTCGTAGCTCTTATATGTCAGATACTGTTAATAGTCAGCAAACTAATGTCTCTGGTTCTTCATATTTTTTGTGGCACTGTCAGCTAGAACATCCACATTATGATTCACTTAAAAGTGTATTAAAGACTTGTAATATACCGTTCAATAAAATGAATGAAGACTTTTGTTCCTCTTGTTGTATTGCTAAGTCTCATCATTTACATTATATTTCTTCTAACACTATATATCATGAACCATTTGAACTGGTCTATTGATTTGTGGGTACCCTTACCAGTGAAGTCAACTTTGGGACACACATATTATATCTCTTCTGTTGATGCCTTGTCCAAACACACTAGGTTGTTTCCACTCAAACTAAAATTTGATGCCATATCTGTTTTCCAACAATTCCAAGTTATGATCAAAAATCAATTTCAAAAGCCACTCAAAGCTCTTCAATTCACCCAATATCTAAAATTCATGGGAAAAACCATCGAATTACATGCCCTCATACTCATCACCAAAATAGAGTGGTGGAAATGAAATATAGACATGTAGTTGAGACTGGACTAACCTTATTAGCTCATGCCTCTCTTCCCTTACAGTTTTGGAACTATGCCTTCATGGCAGCAACCTACCTCATAAATAGACTACTAACAGCCTCAATTAATTTTGAGGTACCTCACACAAAATTACTCAAACAAACACCCGACTACTCCTTTCTCAAAATATTTGGATGTGCTTGCTTCCCATTCTTAATACCGTATAATAAACACAAACTGGATTTTAGATCCAAAGAATGTGTTTTTCTTGGATATTCTAAAAATCACAAAGGATATTATTGTCTTTGCCCTGATGGCAGGGTATAAATTTCGAAAGATTTAGATTTCCCTATTTCTCTTGGCATGACAAAACTCAACCTATTACTCCTTCTTCCTCCTATTCTATTCCTCTATCTGTTCTGCCCAAGCAGTTACAAAGTCACGTTTCACCAATTAAAACACCAACCCCAAAATCTTCTCAACCTACTGTTGTTCTTCCTCATCCAACAATACATCATCTACACCTCTGATTAGCATAAACACCACTCCAGTCCCTGTCTTGGACACTCCACCTTATTCTCTACCTTCGGTTGCCACTGAAGTACATGACTTTATTGAAGTTCAAGCTAATTCCTCATCTACACCTCCAGCTTACCCTCTACCAATATCCGGAGCCCATCTTCATCTTCCAGCTTAAGTTTATCATCTTCTACCTTGGAATATGTCCCATCTAATTTTAGTACCTCTTCTCCAACTCATTCCATCACAACCAGGTCAAAAACAGTAGCCAAAAACCTTGTACTTCTTACCCATACAAAGCCTACAACAGTCAAACAAGCTCTATCTAGTCCAAAGTGGTCCAGTGCTATGCAATCCGAATTTAATGCCTTATTAGCTAACAAAACTTGGTCTCTTATTCCTTTACCTAGTGGCAGGAACTCTATAATATGCAAATGGGTCTTCAAGGTTAAGGAGAATTCTGATGGCAACATAAATAAGTATAAAGCACGCCTTGTGGCTAAGGGGTTTCATCAGAAAGCTGGCTGTGATTACAATGAAATTTTTTCTCCAGTTGTCAAGCCTGTCACTGTTCGAATAATGCTCACAATAGCCCTTTTTTTTGGGTGGTCTCTTCGGCAATTGGACATAAATAATGCTTTCCTTAATGGTGTCCTAGAGGAGGAGGTCTACATGGATCAGCCTCCTGGCCTTGAGGCAACTAATAAATCTCTGGTCTGCAGGCTACATAAATCCCTCCATGGTTTGAAGCAAGCCCCAAGGGCCTGGTTTGATAAATTAAAGCAGTCCCTCTTCACTCTTGGGTTCAAATCAAGTCGTTGTGATCCATCTCTATTCATCCTCAAAACTGAATCTGTTTGCATCTACTTATTGGTATATGTAGATGATATTATTGTTATCAGAAATAATGCCTCTCTGATTCAAAGACTGATTTCTCAGCTTAATTCAACATTTGCTCTTAAAGATCTAGGAAAACTTGATTATTTCCTTGGAAATGAGGTAAAACGCAGATCTTCTGGCTCTCTCTATCTCACTCAATCCAAGTACATTAGAGATCTCCTAACAAAGGCAACAATGCATGAATCAAAGGCTATCTCAACTTCTATGCCCTCCAACTGCAAACTGTCCATATTTGGCTCTAATTACTTCTCTGATCATCATCTTTATCGCTCTATAGTGGGTGCACTTCAATATGATACAATTACT